CCCCCCCCCACATCAGAGTTCTACCATCACATCAGGAGTTGCAGCTATGACAGAATATCAGAGGACGAGAGGTAGAGAGGGTCTGGATGGAGGTGAACTTCCATCTTTTTTTGAATGGATCCCACCCTTCCTGGGTTAGCATCATTTTCTTCCATGGAGCTGGCGGCCAGCCCACCTGCGCCATGGAAAGGCATGATGCTGTGCAAAATCTTGAGGCGCCTCTGAGGAACCAAAAAGACTTATATTGCAGTCACATGACTGCGCCAGTCCCATTTTCCTCCTTCCTATGGTATGATGGTGCGCAGAGAGTCGCGGCAGCACAGGAACTACATGTCACAGAAGTCTGTGCGGCTTCTAGCCACTGTGGTGTTTGAGCCAATAGTAAAGCCCACTGGCTGAGCCGGCTGCAGTATTATGTCGCCGTCACCCCTGTAGTACTAAGAACCAGATGAGGGGCATTAACACAAGAGCTGGCTACGACAGGAAGCATCCAATGTCATGCAGCTGGAAGTTCCCATAAAACCATGACAGCATCAAAGAACACAAAGTTGCCATGCATGCCCTCATTCACCTGATGATAGGTCCATTTTAAGTGCTAATTCTTTAATGCAAACTAATACGAATTCCCTTTCCCGAATCAGTTATTGATCAGGGAGGCTTATTGATTGCAGAGGAATACAGATGACAACTAGAGGAGGAGACTATCAATCTGCATAGAAAGTAATGGACACATGGGAAGGCAAACATGACAAATGTGAGTTACACCCAAAACAATTACACAAAAAGTAACAATTCCAGTAATAAAGAATTGTGCTCACAGGAAATAGACTTTTGTTTCTCTCTAAATATTGATACATTCTATCAGATGTATATTTACATATTTTGTACTATGGCTCTGGATGATCTGGCTTGACATTTTATACAGGGTGGTGAAGTGATCGTAAAATTCCATGCCCAGGGCTAGAACATTACAATACTGCATGGAAGGAATTAGCTGTGCGAGATTGTGGGCTTGTTTGTTAGTACAACAGATAATGAGAATGTGATGTGCCCGGCTGAAAAGAGACGACGCAGCTGTTGTTTGTGGAAGTTCAGCTTGCGCGTTGTGCCTCCATGAACGTCAGGACATGCCGATACTTCACTGAAATAAATGTTTCTGTTGTATCGGAGGCACTCAGCAATTGAAGCTGAAGATGTATGCCCCGGTTGCTTGCTCGCACCCAGGTGACACCATTGGAGGGGTGACACCAAAATGACTGACAGTCATTTTGGTGTAAACCCTCTGAAAAGTCGGGCACTTGGTCACGGACCGAGAGCCTGACAGTTGCAGGAGAGAGAGGAGGGGCCCCGGCAGCATACCTCATCCCCGCTGGGTGAACGTCCCCTCCTCTCTCTGCCGGCGTCCATCACCAAGATGGTCGCGTATGCTTGATGACGTCATGGCGGGGTGTCACCCGATACCCGCTCCGGGTGACACCCAGCCTGGGGACGCTCTTGCACCTGCGTGTATATGAGATGACCACCAAGAGCATACCTCCAACTGTCCCTCAGTTGGGAACAAATCTTTCCAAGTCCCTCTTTCCTTCTCCAGCCAAAGCTGTTGTTCTTTTGGATGGTCTTGGAAAAAGTAAACACTTCAGTCTCTCTACAGAAAATGACTCTTGCTCTCAGTGTGGAGGCAGTGGTCTCTCTGCTATAATCCAACCCCCCTGCTAAATCAGAGCTAGAGCTCACCAATCAGCAAAGCTTATGTTCTCTGTAGATTGAAGAGCTCTAGCTCTGACTCAGCAGGGGGGAGGGATGTCGAACCTCTGTAGAGAGACCACTGCTTTCACACACACAGAGGAAGGGTCCTTCTCTGCAGAGATACCACTGCTTTCACATACAGAGAGCAAGGGTCAATCTCTGCAGAAAGACCACTGCTTCCACACACACAGAGAGCAAGGGTCCTTCTCTGCAGAGAGACCACTGCTTCCACACACACAGAGAGCAAGGGTCCTTCTCTGCAGAGAGACCACTGCTTCCACACACACAGAGCAAGGGTCCTTCTCTGCAGAGAGACCACTGCTTCCACACACACAGAGCAGTGGTCCTTCTCTGCAGAGAGACAGAAGTGTTTACTCTTCCCAAGACTATCCGAAAAAACATCTTTGGCTAGAGCTGGGCTTTAATTGGAAATATACAGTTCAGACTTGTTTCGGAAGGCAAGATTGAGATATTGTGATCAATATCTCCTAAGACATCAAAGCTTGGAGAATGTGGGAAAACCCAAAACTGCCCAAAAAAAGTAAAAGGCCCGGGCCATAATAGCTCCTTTAAATGCCAATTCAGTGGATTTCCCCTTCAATAAATATTTTGGCTGCAGTACATTACAAATCTGCAGCAACCACAAGCTCCTCAGCGCCATCACGTCCCATCTTGATACATCTCTTGGCGGTTTAGCACCTCATTATCAATTCACCGCAGTGTCATTACCAGGGAGGTTTAGTCATATGATTGCCGTCTGACACAGTTCAACACCATTCTAGTAAGTAAGCTCACTGGAAGATGTGGTAACGATGTGGTGACTGTACTGAGCTTCATGTACAGTTATCAGCTTTGGATGGGCTGAGCTCCTAAAGAAACATGGCCGCTCCATCATAAAACAAACTGTTATCACACTGGGTGAGAGCTGCCCAGCAGCATGCAGCTCTACAAACATTGTTTGTTGTTATGCAAACCCCAACTAAATGCTTACTTTTCATCATAACAAATTACTTTTATCTGAATAAAATACTTGTTTTTACCTTTTTTTACCCTTTGTTGCTGCTGATCTCCTGCAGCCATATTATAATCTACATACAAGCATCCATTATTTTGGCTGCAAGGCATTTCCTGATGGTGACAACAGAGGACCCTGCCTGCGTAATGTGTGTTCAACTGACAGCTTGTAGTCTCTAATGGAAGCCCCTGTGACAGGGTGACAAATTTAGTTACATAGTTACATAGTATTTGAGGTTGAATAAAGACACAGGTCCATCGAGTTCAACCCATTGCGTGTATGCATGTTACTCTGCATGTGTATGCTTGTGTATGAGTCCCCGCGTGTTTTTTGAATGATTCAATACTCACAGTGAAATCACTTTCTGCGGCAGTGAGTTCCAAACCCTAACCGCCCGAACTGTGCAGAAGCCCCATGTGCTGAAATATTTTCTCCACCAGTTTTAGGTGGTGGCCTCTAGTCTTTGTCATGGAGTTTACCGTAAAAAGTTTGTTGCTGATGTTGCTCTCCCCATTGAACATCTTGTACATGAAAATCATGCCCCCCCCCCCTTTATCTCCTCACTTCCAGTGTGAACATAGAAACACAACTGAGAAACAGGGACAGACAGTTGTCACCCTATAACAGGAAGTGCCTTCATGTCAGGATCACGCTATTTTAATAAAAGCTGCAGATTTGAAAATACTCAAAATGACTTTTGAAATTGCATTAGCTTAAGGAAAGTTTCCTTCTAGTTACGCTTGTCAAGTTTTATTACCATCTCCCTATCCTGGTGACACCTTTACCCCTCGTTCTTTGTCCTGGTGTCAAAAAGAATCAAAAATAAGGAAAAATCTCAACCACAGCTTAAAACTTTTTGGAAAAAACCAAAAGCAAATTTATGGATGGCTTTAGTTTTGCTTCAAAGCCAAGTTGTGTTAAAAGTGCAGGTAACTTCTAAATGCCTTTTTCGTTATTGTCCACAGAAACTTGTGCCCCATGTCTATGAATTACTATATGCCTGTGTCTTTCAATAGACTCCAGAGGCGTAACAATAGCCATAGCGGCCCATGCGGCTGCTATGGGGCCTGGGGGTGGAAGGGGGCCCCAATAGGGATTGCAGAAGTTGCTGCGGACGCTGACATTATTAATCAAGAAGAGCTGGCATCAGATATACAGGGGAGGGACTATGTGGGCAGCTCTCTTGCTACCTGACTTTAATATCAATGACAGTAAGGAGGTTGCTGGGGGACCCCATCAAAATTTTGCTATGGGGCCCCATGATCTGTGGTTACGCCCCGATAGACTCCATGAAAAATATTTTCATTTTCTGATTATTTACATTATATATTGATGTTGAGACATAACCCATAACCATTGTATAATTCAAATTCGTATACAGATGCTGCCCCTGGTGAAGACATCCCAAAGCCTCCTCGCCTTTCCCCAATCTCCGTATCGGACGTGCAGACAGATTCCTTCCGTATCACCTGGGAGCCCCTTGATGGAGATTTTGATGCTTTTGTCATCCAATATGGCCCCCCTGGAGGACCCACCCAGGAGGAGACTGTGCAGGGAGACCAGACAACGTTCCTGATCACGGGGCTGCGGGCCCAAGTTAATTACACAGTGGAGATCCGAGGTGTCTGGGGAGACAGTTACACCAACCCGGAGACTGCCCATGTGTTTACAGGTGAGGCACAGAGGGGTGTGGGGACTGGAGCTCATATATAAAACTTGTATGGAGGAAGCAGGTGTCTTTAGATAAAAGCTAACACGTGATAGGTCTGTCTTTTATCGTGTGCTAATCTGGTGCCAGGGGCAGCAAAGGGTTTATGGTATGTCTGAATACATAGTAGAGCCCATCGCACTCCTGACCAGAGAACCCTCAAAAGTCAGGCGGGTGCTGGAGTGACTGCAGATGTCTCTGCAAATCAAACGGAACTAGTCAAAAACTCACTCTAATTCAAATTATAGGGAATCTTCTGTATTGACCATGGTACTGTCACATTGCTGCCATGGTCAATGGTATGTCTAAGACTGATGCAAGGGCATCTGGTGAGGGGCTTGGGTACCAAAACCAGGTAATTCATGGCCTCAAAATGGCCCCAACACATATCCTACCCCAACATGGGTACCCTACCACTCTAAAATCCCCCTGGCCAGATACTTACATCTTCAGCATCTATTAGATGGTGATGACTTGGACCAATTGATGGCACAATGTAACTCCAACACTTGCATAGTGGTGCTCCATCATCACTGGCCGCCCAATGCCAGGTGCAGAAAAAACATCAGAAGATTGTGGTGAAGGAATAGGCACCGAGACACGGAGATGTGATGGGGGGAAACTTAGGGGCAAGATCGCTGTAATGTGCAAGCATACCATGCATACTTGTTACCCCACTGTTCCACTTTGAGGGTCCATATCCGCTACTGGTGCATTAACTACTGTTAATGTGCACTTTGGCACATGCTGACATACATTAGGCCAGCTTGTTCATTTAAAAATGGCTGCCCATGGATTGAAAATTGGACCTGCACTACTTTTTCAAACACAGGGAACCACAATGTGCAGCAGTGCATTACCATACACTGCAACATAGGTGTGTTGGGGGTGTGAAGGTCTATTGTGTTGTGGTTGCCATTGAAAATGAATGTTACCGCAATGCTCGCAGTATGTGTGTTTTGCGTTAAGGCATTTTAGAACACAATTTCTATCCCAAGTGACCACAATGTAACATTGTCAATGGTTTCAGAACTCCTAACTTCCCCTCATCACTTAAAGTGAACCCTAACCGAAACACTTAGAGGTATAGTTATACAAATTTGAAGAACCATTTGGCATGTGAAACTGCATGTATATTCATTCTATGTGAATGGAGTAAAAAACAATGTAATATCTGTAAAATACCACTTTATGGCCACTAGATGGAGGTGAGGATCATAGGAAATAAGTATGTATTTCCTATGATCCCCGGCTCCATCTAGTTCTTCATTCTTTCCAGGTCGAATGTAATTAATTCATAAGATTAGAGTGAATCAGGAAAATACTGCAAGCCAGTAGATGGCGATGAGGATCAAAGGAAATAAGTATTTATTTCCTATGGTCTCCAACTCCACCTAGTGGCTATATTGTGGTATTTTCCTGATTCGCTCTAATCTTATCAATGAATTGCATTCGACCTGGAAAGAAAATATACTAATATTCCTTTTGGCCCCCACTCTCACTGAATGATTGTACATGAGGTTTTGCAGGATGAATGGACCTGCAAATTTTTTTGAACCCAAAAATTCACCCATTACTTAGGCTTTAACCCAGTTAACAGTATGCCAGTATGCCTAACCTACCCCCTAAATTAACCTTCACAGGGTGATGTTAACCTTATCAGGCAATTGGATCTCATCAGTACCTACTTCAAGAAATACCGACACTCCCCCTTTAACCACTAGAGTGGAAGACATTTTTTTATGCCTACCACCACCCCCAGCACCATGATCAAATACAACAGTTTGCTTTTTTGATGCATAAAATCTCTATCCCTACAGCCAATAATCTTTGTAACACTTCTATTATGTTCCTCCCTTCCAGAAAAGCTTCAGCCTCCGAGACTGGAGTCGCTTTCCCCATCCGACATCCGCAGCGATTCTGTCCATCTCACCTGGGAGGTCAAAGGTAGCGACTTTGATTCCTTTCTTCTTTCCTATCGGGATGGAGAAGGACAACCACAAGAAATTCCTCTGGAAGGAGATGTGAGGTCCTATGATGTGAAAGAATTGAAGGCCGGGAAGAAATATAAATTCACCTTGCATGGCCTAATAGAAGGGAAGAGAACCAAACCAGTGACTGCCGAAATCACTACAGGTGAGTGGAGGGTGGGGCAAGAGTGGTAAAGCCGCTCACTGCAACACTGAAGAGTACCTGTCACCTCAGACAGCTGTTCTGTTGGGTTGGTTATTGTTGAAGAGGACGCAAGAGTATACATTTACAAGGGAAATATGACATGGTGAATAACACTGCCTGGCCAAAAAAATGTCACCACCTGGATTTAGCTAAGCAAATGGGTAAGAGCTATATGGGTGGCTTCAGTTGGTCAGGTCTAGGTTCAGCAACGTTATGTGCGCCAAAAATGAGGTCAGCTGCCTATCTGAATATACTGAATGATGAGGTTTTTCCATCAATGGATTTTTTTTCTTCCCTGATGGCACATTGGGCATATTGCAAGATGACAATGCCAGGATTCCAGTGGCTCAGGGGGCATAAGACATAACTTTTAAACACATGGATTAGCCACCACAAAGTCCAGACCTTAACCCCATTGAGAATCTTTGTGATGTGCTGGAGAAGACTTTACACAGTGGTCCAACTCTCCCATCATCACTACAAGATCTTGGTGAAAAATGAATGCAACTCTGGACTGAAATAAATGTTGTGACATTGTATAGGCTTATCGAAAAAATGCGACAGCGAATGAGTGCTGTAATCAAAGCTAAAGGCGGTCCAACGAAATATTAGAGTGCGTTTCTTTTTTTGGGGGCCAGGCAGTGTATGTATCCCTCAAGAAACAATTCCATGTTAAATAAGCCTATGGTGTTTCACAAGATTTGTGCCGATACCAGTTCAGATACTAGTGCCGATACTTGGCATTTTCACGAGAACTACCAGGGTTGCAGAAATCATTAGTCTGTATTGTTTTAGAAAAACTGTCACATGACAACAAACAAAAATGTATCAGTACTCTTATCTGTGAGTACTTGTACTTGAAAAAATGGTATCCATGCATCACTTATATATATTTCTAAAAAAAAAAATGCATTAAAATGGGGATGTAGAAATGCCAGGAGCTCCCTAAAAAATGACAGCTGCCTCCTAACTTTTGAATTTTGAGCTGGAAAAGTGTCTGTATGCAGGTGTATAGTAGTGTATAGGTGTATAGTAATAAGGAACGAGCAGGGAGACGCATGAGGCAATGCGGTTTACCAACTGCAGAAAACAACTCCTGGTTTGCAAATTAGCCTTCTCCTAATCCAAAAACCAAAAGATGCAATCACAGGGGATCAGGGTCATTATCAAACCAGCACAGGCTAAAAACCAGGAAATGAACGGTTGGTAATAAAACTGAGCGATTTTGTTAAATATTTACCAAGCAAAGTGTTGTAAAGCGTTTAATTGAGCGTTATATAAATACGCGGCTCAGAATCCCGAACGTACTTAAGGAAAAAATGCATTGTGTGTTTGGCCAGACACGGCCCCGGTCTTCTGCTGCCTTTTATGTAAAATATCTCCTGCAGACTATTTTTGTAACATAGGAAAAAATAAATAAATAAATAAATA